TAAATGAATATGGAAAATAATTAAAAGTACATCAAATATATGTTTTAAAAAATTCATATAACTCGTCTTTTTTTTTTTTTAAAAAATTAATTATTTTATTAATGTTTATTATTTTGTCACGATAATTTTCTCAATATAATTTATATCATTTTCTTAAAAAAAAAATTACGTGTATGACGTCAATTATTTTTCTTTTTGGACGTAAAAATTTCTAATAATATTATTATCACTTTATAATTTATATGGGTTATAAATTGTTATTCTCTTTTTTCTACTTTTCTCCATTTCTTTAGGCAACATCTATAAAAATATATATATATATATATACTTCTGTTCTTTATTCCTTTATGCAACAAGTAATTTGTAGATTTATTGAGAGAAAAAATTAGATATTTTGACACGGTAATATTACCTAAAAAAATGACATAGCCCGTATATATATACACAATATAAGGAGTTTCCTACTTTAAAATAAAATTTCATAAAGTTTCGAGATCGATAGCTATGCAAACGAAGTTATTTCGACAGTTGCTGCTTGAGTTAGAAAGCAAAATAGCAATATTGTTTTATTTATTTTGCCTAGAACTTCACGTCAATAATGGATACATGCATGGAAAATCGTTCTAAAAATATTTTTGAATTTGATTCGTTTAGTATTGAATTATGTTGTTTTTAAAAAAAAAAACAGATTGCTTTGCATATATATTGGTTCATGCCATTGTTCACGTAAATAGTAGAATTTGCACGGAATTTGTTCAAATACTTTCGGTATCATTTCACTATATTTGCTACTGTTCAAAAGTGACGTTACTTCTAAGAAATTATTAGATGATCCCTTAATATGAAATGATGTTGTTTGGAGTTAAATAGTTTTTGAAATAAATTCTTAAATTAAATCTTACATTTTTCCTTAAAAGTATAGTTAATTAAATTATTATTTAAATAATCTCTAAATCTAACGCTAAGGTACAATTGTTTGAGTGATTTCCATCTATGAGAGCGTTACATATATAATATAAATGGTAAATGGTTGATATACCAACAAACAGTTATATCAAAATGAAAAGTAAGGCTACAATCTAAATTTGGATTTTGTATTAATCAATTTCATTTTTTTTTTTTTTTTGGAATTTAGAGGTTTGGTAGAATAAGTGTAGACGGTAAACAAATTATTTGAGAAATGATTATATTTTTATTATTTTGTTTTTTAAGTTTAAAATTTATTATTTTTAAAATGAAAGAAAAAATATATAAATTGAATTGGTGGGTTGGGTTGGTCAATTGACGGATTGATTACTTAAAGAATAATGTTATTTGCAGTCGCCCTACGTGGCATACACATAGCAGGTGTTTATTTGATGCATTAATGAATAAAAAAACTACCACATTAATGCATCAAATAATTACCTGTCATGTGTATGCCACGTAAGGCGACTATCGCAATGAGCGATTAAGAATAGCATTATTATTACTTAAATCATAACCAAGCCGACTGACTTTTTTCATGGTAAAATTTAGCATAACCAAACCAATTTCTTTGATCAATCCGACGCAAACAGACTCGAGTTGATTAGGTTTGGTTTGGTTTGGTTTGATCGATTTTTCGTTTTTTTGCCCTCTCTTATCATTGATTCTTAAATTATATATATATATATATATATATATATATATATATATATATAGAGAGAGAGAGAGAGAGAGAGAGAGAGAGAGAGAGAGAGAGAGAGAGAGAGGACGAAAATAGTGGATCCCTAATATTCACGTCAAAATTTATAAGCGACGTCTTATTTTAATTACGATGGAAGCTCTCAATCTTAATTCATTTACACTTATGTTCCCAATACTTTGGTCATACATATTTTAAGTTATTAACATATTTTCTCAATGTGACGGTTTTCTTTCCAAGTGTTTTTTGCTATTATGTTTGAGAAGAAGGATAAATACTTTATTGAACTTCACTATTATTTATTTATTTTTGTTTATTTAAAAATATGAGGGACAAATAAGTCTTCTGCGCCCTCTTAATATATTTTATTGGTGAAAATATCAAAAAAACGAGGGATAATTATTTGAAGATTGGCGATAAGAATGTGACCAAAAAAACTTGAAATTGTTTGATCCCCATTATCATAAAACTCATTTTTTTTCTCAAACTCAAATATTTTGGGCGTAAGCCTAAAATTTTTTCATATTTTTTGACCTTACATTTTTCAAAAATTTACTATTAGAAATGCATTTTCAACAAGGGCCGGGGGGCCGGGGGGGGTCTCAAACAAGTGAAAATGAGCAAAATTACAAATTTCCTATGCAATTAAATAACAAAACTATGGTGTTAATACAAATACGCTTGTTCTTTTCCTTTTTTCCTTGATGGATTAGAAATCGTTTTATTTCATGCATCTACTTTATGTTGCGGGTGCACCTTAAAGTGTACTAAGGCTTAGGCCTTGACTCACAGTTTTAACGATTTTAAGCACTGGATAATAGCTTAGATTAATTTATTTACTTTAATTTTTAGACCTTGTAATGTATTAAAAAGTAAAGTTTATACACTTTCAATTTTTGATTTATTAGCCCAATATTCTAGGAAGTTTTGCTCTAATTTTCACTTATAACGCATAATGAACGTGTTGGAATTTCATGAAATTAAATAAGATTTATACATGGGAATTGGAATGAACGTTACAGGTGGTGGTGGTGAAAACGACGATGGTTGCACTTTCGAATTTTATTTTATTAGCTCAATATTCTAGGAAGATTTGCTCTAATTTCACTCTAACGTACGTTGAACTTGTTGGAATTTAATGAAAATAAATAAGATTTATCTGTGGGAATCGGAATGAACGTTACAAGTTGTGGTGGTGAAAATCACGATGGTAACGTAACAATGAACGTTATAGAATCATGCTATATGTACAATCTGGCTTGACAATCTTTGTTGACAACACACATTTTATAATACCACATTCATTCATTTCATAAGCAGTATTTTAAATCAATGGCGCAGGTTTTGACGACAACAACAACATTGTCAACCATTATTGTCAAGTATGATTGTTCAAATAGTATAATTGAATATTATAAGTGTTTAGATCTGTGTAACACTGCATGTTACAAGTGTTGGTAATGACAGAGTCACGATAATGGTGAAAATAGACAGACAATCTTTATGTAACAGACTGTGTTACAAATAGTGACGAAAGCCACGTTGAGATACGACAGTGAAAATAGGTAGTGAAATGACCTACTGTAATATATGTTACAAAATGTACTGTAAAAATTTTCGAATTTTCGAATATTTTTAGTTTGAATTGTTTCCTTATTTTTTTAGTATATTACCCTCTATGAATACGATCCAAAATTATAGCATAAAAATTGACAAGTAAGCCACACAGAACCAAAAGAAAACAGGCCTCAAATTTCAAAATTGTGGTCCAATAACAGGCCCACTAATGGCCCAATAATGGTTTCAAATGATTGGCTCATATCCCGAACCGGCCGTTAATTATAAGGAAAAAAATCCGGTTTACTGATCATCGGATAACAAAAGGCAGAAAGTACGACGAAGGACCTCAGTGTTCCTCCCATGGCTTCCACAACCCATTTACCCTTCTCTCCCCCTCTTTCTATCTTTAAAAACCCAATTAAAAAATCCCAAGTTGTTGTCTCTTTCACCAAACCTCGACTTCAAGTGAAAATTCACGCAACGGGAACGGATATGGTCGGCGATTTTGGAGCCAGGGACCCATTTCCAGCAGAGATAGAAAGCAATTTTACTGAGAAAGTGCTGGGAAATGTAGATACTGAGCATAAGATTTTGATTCCAACTGCTGCCGCTCTGTCTCTTTCGCAACAACAGTGTACTCCCATTTCTCATCTTCAGCAACCTATTCCTGAGGATGAAGCCAAAAAGATGCTGTTCAAGGTAACTCTGTATTTCTACCCTTTTATTCATTAACCCTTATCAAGTTTTTTATGTTTCTTTGGCTAAAGTTGAAGGTGGAAACTCGCATTACAAATTCGATTGAGAACGTGAAATATTATAGCTCAACTATTGGGAATAATTTGGTCTTTCTTGTACACTGTATTTAGTTTGAGCTGCAATGAGCAAAATATGAGAATCTTTCATTTTCTTTTTGTTTTCGGATTTCTTGATTTACTAATATATGCACCCTAATATGAGAATCTTTCATTTTCTTTTTGTTTTCGGATTTCTTGATTTACTAATATATGCACCCTTTTCCCTAATTCATTTCGATAACAAGAAAAATGGGTTTAGTGCATAACATGTAATATGTATTGTATTAACTTTGTTCTATAGGTTGTTGGCTGGAGACTTGTACATGAAGAAGGGGGTATAAAGCTTCAAGGTTTATGGAAATTGAGGGATTTCAAGTGTGCGGTTGAACTCATTAATAGGATATGCAGGGTTGTAGAGCCTACGGGGCACTTTCCTACTCTTCATCTAGAGCAGCCCAATCAAGTTAGAGCTGAACTATGGACTGCTTCAATTGGTAATATAGTGAAGAGACAATGAACCAATTTTAATTGATTATTTACTTAATTAGCTTTCACATCATATAAATATTGAATTTGATGGTTGCACTTTTCTCTCTTCTTATTATTGTCCTGGTTTGTAAAACAAATCGCATAGGACATTTTGAGGATCCAGTCCTCTATAATACTAGAGCCCTAATCTTGAAACTTCACCCAAGAAGGGGGAAAAACAGAGATTAGGACAGAATACTTCATATGTTGTCAATTGCGGTACATATTCTCTTGTTTTAATGTTCATTTTGACTTAAGTGATTTCTCATCAGTGTATACATATTCTCTTGTTTTAATGTTCATGTGTTCATGAGTTTCATATGATGTCTTGACTTAAATGATTTCTCAACAGTGTATACATATTCTCTCAACAGTGTATACATATTCTCTTGTTTTAATCTCATGTGTTCATGAGTTTCATATGATGTCTTGACTTAAATGATTTCTCACCAGTTATACATATTCTTTTGTTTAAATGTTCATGATTTCTCACCAGTGTATACATATTCTCTTGTTTTAACGTTCATGAGTTCATATTAACTTAAATATACAGTGTCGTAATCAAATGTGGGTATCAAATGCAGGAGGTTTGAGCATGAATGATTTCATTGTTGCTGCTAAAATAGACGAGATAAAAACATCAGATCTTGTCCTCCGAAAGAGAGTTTGGGCGTAACTGCAGAATTAGATGCCATGTAAGCTCTTCTTTTTTCCAGCCTATCTAGCCATGTTGATCAATTTTTACTACTGTTTAGTGTTGAATCCTTGTTACAAATTCATTACATTTAGAAAAGACTGGAATGTAATGAAGCGGTGCCAATTCAATGGAAAGACTGGAATGTAATGAAGCGGTGCCAATTCAATGGATACAGTCTGATCAATTGTATTTGTGTATAGATTTTTGGTGAAGAGACATAAGTTTAACACAAATAGTTTTAGATCCAAACCTAAGGACCTCACGAAACAAATCCAAAAACAATGTAACCAGGGGAGAGTAGACTGGGACGAGGATAAGAGTGTCCTAATTGAGAGGGAGATGCACACGAGCACTTGTAGTTGCTAGTGTCCGGCAAACTGGGCAGGATCTGGTGGTTGACTCGCAACGTGTGCAGATGCAAACATGGCTACATGGCCACAGCATCACCATCGCAAGTCTGCTCTCACAAATCTTGCACTTGAGCTTCACACTGAAATCTTGCTCGGGGTCCACATACGATGACTCAGCGTCCTCTTCCTGCCTATCCTGGTACGGATGTGCTGATGTAGCCGTGCGCAATGCTGCCCTCAGACTCATAAGCAATTGCTCCTTAGCCATCAACCTGCTCGATAAACTGTCTGCCTCTGCTCTGTAATTTGATACCATCTCTTCCAACTCCTTGTTCCTATCTAATAAACGTCGTGCTTCTCCTCTGTAACTTAACAAAGTCGCTTCAAGCTTCTCATTCTGATGCACCTTTTCTATCATTTCCATTTCCTTCTCTTTCAGTTTCTCAGCCACTCTTTCCTCTGCTGAGCACTGGAGTGCATTGTAATGCTTCCCCCACATTCCGGCCAACCCCCGCCTCAAGTTCTCGTTCTGCACGAAACATAAGGACCGCATTAGACACACTCGAAAAAAAACCCAAAAAAATGAAAAAGGAAGAAAAATCATTACATGTGTGTTGATCATATGATCAACTTGAACACTCAGACTTTGCACATTTGGCGTGAGAATGCTGCTATCAGCTTCAGTTAGCATGGCTGTGAAAGATTTGAATGGAGCAACTATGTTCAAAATTTCTTGTGCATGTGATTGGGATTGCCTTGTTTCTTCAACTTGTTTCAGTTTTCTCTTCCGAGATTCATTAGCATCTGCTAAAAAATAAAAATAAAAATACAAATAAACGTTTAAAGATTTGAAACTAAGTGTGCCTATACATACACATATACATAGATAAATACCTCCATTGTTGTTCAACATTGCAGAATTTTGAACTTTTTTCTGCAGAAATGAAAAGGTATGGTGAAATACTCTACAGCATCATCAATCAAAATATCAAATGACAGTAAATGTGTGTGTGTCCGTGCGCGTGTGAGAGAGAGAGAGAGACCTGTTGAAGAGCAGAAGATGGAGTGGGTGGGGAAGATGAACGGCCATGGACGATGATTATAAATAAATTGAATCGGTGCTCGGCGGCCTTTTGTACAACGGACGCAATGGATCGCATCAAGAGACGTGAATTTTCTTGGAATCACTTTGCAAAATATATACGAATTTGACTAGAAAACATCAGTTTCAAAGATTACATTAAAAAAAAAAATTGATGAAATATATGGGTTTGTCTTGGAATGTAAAGTAGACGATGCCATTTTATGGGGAATTGTTTAAAAAATCACTGAATTTATACCTTGGTCACGAATTATTCATTGAACTATAAATTGCTTTAGAATGTTTACTGAACTTATCCCATTTCACTCCATTCATCACATCCAAAAATCGTCAACTTCATTGTTGATTTGGAGGACGATTTTATTGTGTGGCAACTAACAGTCGTCAACTGCGTGCCAAATCACCTGTGTTATCCAAGTCACCTTAAAATAATATTAAAGCTCCAAAAAAAAAAAAAAAAAAAAAAAACACCCTTAATGTGCTTAATAGGAACAATTCTGAAATGCCGAACACTATTTTGACATCAATCCAAATGTTGCTCTTCCCCTTCTTCTCCAGTAGCTCCTTATATTCCTGTTGCTACCATGTCATCGGACAAAGTAATCATTTTCGTTTGGACAGATTTTGGAGCCTCAAACATTTCACTGCCCGATGGAAAACGCGGGAAGGACCCAAACTACACGGCTTTGCAAAATGACTGCACTGCTCATTCTGTCGTATCCAACGTGGCCCTGAACTCAATTCGCCCTCTAATGGTGCTAAGTGCTCACAAAAATATCTTTTGATTTAAAAATATTGTAAGTATATGTTTCGTTAAATCGGTAATAAAGTGGATGTGAGTCCAAGTATCGTTCTCACAAATATTGTACTAGCTTAAATTCGAATCAACTTACCCTTAATCGAAACAATTGAAATTTGTAATTTTTTCTGTAAATTAAATAATATACTTATGAATACAAGATCTAGACCCTGTTTGGCCCCCTTTAAAATTTTTCAATTTAATTTAATTTTTCCTCTTTTCTACTTTTAACCACACAATCTTAAAAAAAAAAATATTACTCCCCTCATTATAAATTCAAATAATGGGGGCCAAACAGGGACCTAAGTTAATCAAAATTAATGCAAAGGTGCAAGTTTTATTAAAATATGATGATGAAAAAGCACTAGGATCCCAAATTTCCTTATATCAATTCTATTTAACTCCGAAACTTATAAATTTTATAACACAATTCGATTATGAAGACCAATATTCCTAATTTGTTTAATAATCTCTCTCAAGTAGAATTAAACCAATTTTTATATACGACCTAACTATATTTTTATGACGGATGGGAACATACAAAAATGCATTAATGATTTATGAATACTTAAAAATCATGTAAATCATAACGGTATATTTCTATCTCGTATTGGACTCTACAACAATTGATACCATATCTAACTTGTTTTTCAGCTTTCAAGAATAAAACAAGCTTCAATAATACAATTAGTGATCAAGTAATTGTAGCGAAAAATAAATTCATGTCAATTATTCAAGAACTAAAAACGTGTTTTGAATGTGAAAAATAAATAAAATTATGAGAAATATTCATGACACAAGATTCATCGAAAATCCTAGCTTAAAAATAATTTAGTCTAGCATAATGTCAAAATTAAACACGTAAAAGTGGAACGACATCACCAAAAATCCATGAAACGTGATTAGTATCCAAATTTTTTGCACAAATTGTTAATTGTTCAAGAAATTATTCTTTCGATTTTGTATCCTCAAGTGTACATTTAACAACAAATAATAAAGTGAAAAATAGATCCCCGAATGTCGTCCCACAGAGATTGGGTAGTTTAATTATATCTAACTTAGCCTTAATTGAAACCGAATTTTAGTAACTTAAATCAACCCTAACGTAGATTAATATGCAATTGTATATTATTTGAATGAATTAACATGCAAGTGAACGTGTTGAATGCAATTTTGATGTACTCAATGAATATGAAGTGCACTAGGATCAAGAATTCCCAGATAATGCTCATTTTTAGCCCTAAGTTCACAAATTAACAACACGTTGAACTTTTGAAGAATCAATGCTCCTAAATATATTCAACAGTCTCTCTCTCGAGTAAAGTTGGACCTATTTTCATATACCACCAGCCTATATATCTATGACGGATGCAATTATACAAGAATGCATGTGATTTTGTGAGGACTTAAAGATTCACGCAAGATATAGCGGTATATCTCTATCCCCTAATGGACCCTAATATGATTTATACCATGTCGAACTCATTCTCCTTCTCTCGAATGTATGAAATAAGTTACCACACTCATACAATTATGTGCACATAATTATGGAAGCAATTAATTGTATATAAATCTTTCAAAGATCAATAACGTGGTTTGATGCCAAAATTGCAAAACTAAAAACTAAAAAGTTACATCACAAGGTTCATCGATCTCTTAGTTCATGAAAACTTAGCCTGGCATGGAGAAAATATCAAAATACACAAAAATTCTAAGAAACGATATCACTGATATAAGATTTGGTGTGTAATTTTGTTGATATTCACGTTTCTCTTCCAATATTGTGGTGTAAAATCTCCTCCAATATTTTGTTGATATAAGATTGTGGTGTAAAATCTCCTCCAATATGTTCTTTTTCTCTCCCAAGGTGTTCCCACTTTAATTGACGGCTCTAGGGTTTTTTATATGTGTCATACAACTTGTTTCCATAAGAGTGTAAAAGAAAGAAGGAAATTGAAAATCCCACGACTTGAAGGTACCATGCTACCGCATGGTATTACGTGTGGCCCTTTTCTTCCAATTTTTGCCACCTTGGTCCCCAACTTCCAATCTCTTGCTTTTTGACCTCTTTTCTCGTTCTTTTTTCTCCCAATACTTCATATTTTCAACAATTTGGTCCTTGAGTCTTTCACATCATTGTTCCTGCCTTCGATTTATCTTTTGGGTATTTACATTTTAGTCCTTGAACTTCCATTCTTTTCCATTTTTGTCCTTTTTCTTCATTTTTTTCTTTCTAATGTCCCATATTATCACCGAAGTGGTACTAACCTCGTTCATCTTCTAGATTCGTCCTTCGATCGATTGTGATTTTTGCACTTTGGTCCCTGAACTTTTATTTTCTTTCGTTTTGACCCTTTTTGTGGCTTTTCTCTTGAATTCCATTATATCCATCAATATGGTTCTATAAAACAAAATTTTATAGAATTAAGCCATATTAAACCAATTTCATCAACAATTAATCATGTTTTGGAGATCGAATAAGCGTATAAAAACGCACTTATAAAACCCCCTAACTTGAACTTTTGTATTTCCCTAAACAAAATAGTGACTTAACTCTAAACAAATCAATGCCTGACGACTTGTCGTGTCACAGGATTGGAATTCAGTAATTAAAGTAAGAAACAATCTCAATAGTGCAAGAATAAAATCAACATTTACTTGTAAGGTGCAAAACTAAACGTGTATGTGTGAACTCATGTCAACATATCAAGCTAATGATTGGTTTATTCCCGACCCATGGTGGTCAAGTATATCCTTTCCTCGCTCGAGAGCTACATATCCTCCCAAACTTATTCTTTTCACTCAATCGTCCTGAGATGTGTCCTAAAGTTAGGAGTTTAAATAATTTCATTCATTTTCCTTTCTTAGCTCGGATAGGTTTCATTCTTACAGGTTCACATGTCAACAAGTAGAGGATCTCCTATTTTTGATTGCTTCAACTTTTAAGATTAAACTAAGTTAATTGCCTCACATCAAAGGTATAGCTCTATCAACCAAATTTCCAAGGCTTTTCTTCACATTATTATGTCTTTTATTCACTGATTTTCTAATATTTATTTATTTATTATTTTTTTTTGCCATCTTCTCATTTACTTTCTATATAATCCCTATAGCGAGCTTTAGGTCGATGATTCCCAAACCAGTTGGTTTTAAGGCACCAAATTTTAAACCCTTGTAGGCTTATTTACTCGAGTTATAAATGCTCGATAAGATGCATTTTTATTAACTTCTCACATTCTCACTTTCTATATGACCCACGTAGTGAGCTTTGAGCCGATGAGTCTCAAACCAGTTGACTTTAGGGCACCAAGTTTTAAACCCCTGTAGGCTTACTCACTCGAGTTATAAAGGCTCGATAAGATGCCTTTTTATTTACTTCTTCCATTCTTGCTTTCTATATGATCCCTGTAGCAAGGTTTGGATCGATGACTTTCAAATCAGTTAGCTTTAAGGCACCAGGTTTCAAAATACCTTTACAAACTTGCTTGCTCGAATCATAAAGGCTAGGAGAGAAGTGGTATTTTTACACATATTAGTTTTAGGGCCCTCTTTGTTTTTCGAGATATTCAGTTTCTAAAACCAATATCCAACTTAAGACTTTCACTTAATGTTCATCTTATTGATCTAAGCAATCCACACAGTAAAATTTTATGCACCGAACCTCTAACTTAAGACTTTCACTTAATAGCCCCAAATGCTTACTGAAGGCTCTGAATGTCTCGGTTGGACCCGGTCATAGTATTAAACATTTGCTTCAATAGCTGTGTATCGACATCAATAGGTGGTGGAAGGGCCTGTGGCATCTCTACATCTTCAGCCGCCTGTCTTGAGGCTATCTGTGGCACTCATTCTCTATCTTTTCTTGGTATTTTTCCCTGGCTATGTCCTGAGCCTTCAAAGTGGTGTGTCTGATAAATGAGTTGAGTTTTTCGAGCACTTCTCTGGATGGAATGTTGACACTTGCAGCCCTATAAATCCCATTGATCAAGCTCGAAAATATCAGTGAACATCGCCTGTCACCCTACGTTCCAATTGTATATATCTGATTATAAATGTAGGTGGCAAGATCATTTTTGTTTCCATGACCCAGATGATATATGAACCCAGCCTTTGGGTTAGTAAATGTCGTCCTGTGTGTGTTAGGCTCAATATTGTGGCATATGAATAGTCATAGAATGGTTATAGATGGGGTAAGCTCAATTTGGTGCCATTCAGCAGTTTTGCAGGGGCTATGCATTTTCACGCCCCAATAATACCTCGGCCACCTCATGCCAATTGAGATTACTCGGGATGGGGACCACGTTATTCTAGCTCAGCTGATAGTAGTCATGGATGACCTCAGTAGAGAACATAATTCATTTTCCTCTTACCTATGTTTGATGCAAATGTTCAGACTCAGGAATGTCTATTTCATTATTGAAATTTGCATAAAACTCCCTTACAATGGAATGTCTATTTCATTATGGAGCGGGTGTGGTCACTTTACTACCTTCTCCCATCAACAAATTTGGACCATGATAACTAGCTTAAACCCAGGAAAATCATCCGACTTAACCGGCCTCTCTAGAAGTAACGCCCAATAGTTGATTATGTTTGAGTACCGAGCTGCAGTGTTCGGAGTTA